AAAAAGAAACAACAAAAGAAAGCATGGCGAACAAGTATACGAATTTCTTTTGTACCTGGAAAAAAAGAAGACCCTTCCAATGTCTTCCATGTACCACCAAACAAAGAGGTTCCATCACTCATTTGTAGCTCTAGTGGTTACAACTGCTATATCAGTCTCAAAGAAATCTCAAGAATTAAGCGGTCACTTCCTTTAATTATATTCCAAGAACGAGCGGCTGCGGTCAGACATTTCTTTGGAATGATCTGAGTGGAAACGTCACGTTGACAGGTAGTAACAATGACCAGATACTGGATGACATCTATTTCAACTGACACTGATAATTCATTGCATAAATTCTGATCATGTCATTCCCTTTTTTTTTTAAATTTTAAAGGAATTATTTTTTATTTATTTATTTATTTTTTTGTAGTTTTTTTAATTTGATCTAGAAAGAAGGGGCGGGGCGTGACAGCAATTTTAAAGAATTCTTAAAGAATATTAAAGTAAAATGAACATCAGTCTTATCATATGGTACAAAACTATTTTAATTTTTGGAATTTTTTATTTTTTTTAAATTAAAACTTACAAAAAAGAATGTCTTCCGAACATTCATTTTTTTAAATACAATAAATAATCGGGCTGATTTTTTTATCTCAATGATCAAGGGTGCGACGTTCCCGCCACACAGCTGCGCGTATGGTCATCACACGTGCATTGACACCTGCACCCTTAAAAATATTGCGCGACTTGTCGTGGACATCGCCCCGGCAACCTTTGACACCACAAGGAACCTCCTATTCGGCGAGGTACCGGATGCAACCCGAGGATGAAGGAAGCCGCTGAGATGTTTCGAACCCTAAAGAGGGCCGAGACAGGCAGTGAAAACTTCACTGGGAAGGGACGCAAAAACTCCTCCCACGCAAAACAACAGAACTGGACTCAAATATAATCCAATTATTATGTTAATAACTTCAATCTAAATATCTGTAAACAATAGCTGTGACGTAATTAAACGTAACATTTTATTTAACAAACATCACGCTACCTTTATTTGTCTCAAACGTCACAAGGGGCTCTAACAGTGGCGTAACGTACACCCCCGTATTGCGGAATGGACCAGGGTTCTAAAGGGGCCAAACCCTGACTGCCCCCATGTACCTACCCTTTGTAAAATCCAGCTTGGGGGTCCAAAACCTGACTTTGCAGGGGGGCTAAAAAGTTTTCCTTTACGCCACTGGGTTCTTACCACAATCAATTAAAGGGCCTGCAAATTTTCTTTGCAATATTTGTAAACTCACATTATTTTCACTCCAAGACGCGCGGTAGCCTGTTAGTGATGATCACGAACTCGTGGCAGGCGTGTCATGAGTTCGAGTCCTAGTGCTACTGAAGACTACGGGTATAGAAGGTGCTGTTGCACGCGTTAAATCTGTCGGGGCTCTCACTCCTCCCGTTGATGTGGAAGTTTCGATTGGGGGAAAGGCCTGATCCACGTCACTTGACCGTGGTTCAAAATTACGAGGTCTGTTGCCAATTTTTCTGCTTTTACTTTTGTAAATTACAAACCAAATCTTCCAAAACTATGGTCAGCAACAATTGCACCAATAATTTTGATTCATAATAATGATCAGAATACACAGCTACCGGTTGATCTTGCTGAGAAAAACACAAAATACCACCACAAATTATTTGTAACAACGCAACAGGACACTCAATGTGGTTTAGAAATTCTTGCAATCCCCCCAACGAGGTTTTTAGAAGTAAGCGGTTGCTTTTTATAATTACATTCCAAGAACGTATAGATGCGGTTCGGAAGAGCCCTCTTTTCAAAGGAGCAATTGGAAATGCCATACTAGTAGATAATGAAGGATTCGCACTTGCGATAAAGGAACAGGTAGGAATTATGGTCGTGGCACAATGGAGCGGTTAGCGGATGACGACGCGGAATAGAGAGGAAGTGAAAAAGAATAAGTATTATCCTTTGTTCGATCAACGACCGAAGTATATATAATTGAACAAAAGGTATTAACGTAATCGCTTACACTTAGAAGCGAAACACTTCCACAGTATGAGCACGATATAGAGAGAATAGAAGACGAGTAATAACACTGTGTAATATTAATCGCAAACTAAATCGTCTGTTTAATACGTTTATAAGTTGAGATCAGTTGTTAAGCCAAGAAATTATTTAGGCATGTGTACGGACGTCTTATGGCATGGGCTAACTGGACCGCGGCTGCAATGGAGGCCACGTCTTGTTCTCGACTCAGCCTTAATAATAAGATCATGGTTCGAATAATTTCAACGATCGGTGACTCTAATGGTTAGAATTCTTGCAATCCCCCCAACGAGGTTTTTAGAGTAAGCGGTTGCTTTTTATAATTACATTCCAAGAACGTATAGATGCGGTTCGGAATGTAGGCCCTCTCTCTCTTTCAAAGGAGCAATTGGAAATGCCATACTAGTAGATAATGAAGGATTCGCACTTGCGATAAAGGAACAGGTAGGAATTATGGTCGTGGCACAATGGAGCGGTTAGCGGATGACGACGCGGAATAGAGAGGAAGTGAAAAAGAATAAGTATTATCCTTTGTTCGATCAACGACCGAAGTAATTGAACAAAAGGTATTAACGTAATCGCTTACACTTAGAGAAGCGAAACACTTCCACAGTATGAGCACGATATAGAGAGAATAGAAGACGAGTAATAACACTGTGTAATATTAATCGCAAACTAAATCGTCTGTTTAATACGTTTATAAGTTGAGATCAGTTGTTAAGCCAAGAAATTATTTAGGCATGTGTACGGACGTCTTACGGCATGGGCTAACTAGACCACGGCTGCAATGGAGGCCACATCTTGTTCTCGACTCAGCCTTAATAAGATCATGGTTCGAATAATTTCAACGATTGTTCTTTCCCGTTGTATTCTCTGAAAAACTGGGAATTTCGGAGGTATGTCAACTGGCTACATGTGATGACCGTCGTTCATGTATAGGCCTAGGCCTTAGTACGATACATCATCATTATTCATGCAGTCAAAAGGCGGCGGTTGGTCGAGCTGGTTTGTGCGATTGTAAATCATGCACATTAATGTGTTTCGGGTTATTGTTTGTACAAGCATTTGACAACATATGCTAGGATTGTCTTTTTAAATGTCATAGGTGGGGTCTACATTTGTGTAGGGGCCCAGGGCCTCAAGAATCCTTAAAACATCACTGGGCATGTGTATATTCAGTTGGGTAATGGCGTCGTAAAGACTTCTTTAGGCCCAGGGCACCTAAGGAAAAGTAGGTCTCATATGCGACCTTTCAACCTAATTTGGTGCATAAATTTTAAAAGTTCAACAAAAAGGGATCAAAAGAAAATAACATTTTATTACATCATTTGTTTTCTACATTTTAAATTTGCAAAAATTGTCTTCGAAATCAACTGTAGGTAATATTTCCTTTTCACGGACATAACGTCATGTTTATCATGTGAGCTATATGCCACTATTGACAATTAGCAAACCGGGTACGGAGCTCCTACATTTCGGGAGTTAAAACTATTGATATCATGATCTTATAGCGGCCGAATCAAAAGTAAGACGCGACTCTCCCGAGACCGAGGCCCAGTTGGCCCACACCGTAAAACACATCCATACTCCTCGTTATACCGCCGCCAATAAAGGGAAAAAATGTCATTCAAAAAAGGTATAAAAATTTACCTGTAAATTACAATATGATAAATAACACATTTTCAAAAAAATTGCCTATTACAAAATATGCTACTTTTTAAAAATATATTGCCTGTACATGGCTAGGACTTCAATACCGAAGCTAAACTAGAAATTTTGAAAAAAAAATTCACTTTATTTTTTTTTCAAGTACTATATCAATTGATACAATAACTGCTGTTTTTTGTTAAAATTAGTGTCTACTGTATTAGAATATGAATAAATTCACTTCAAAATTATATATTTAGAAAATCTTAGTTCAGCCCCTGATCGAAACTCAAATCTATGTAGGCAAAATATTATAATAGAAGTATTTTTCATAAAAGAAGAATGTTCTGAAAATGACATTCTTTCTTCATTTTTTTGCCAAAAAAATGCATTTGCCGTAAAATCTGCCGTATAACGAGCACTTTTAATACAAAAAAATAAGATGGAAACTGACAGGCGCGCGTTATATGCCGGGTATAAAAATGAGAGCTTTAAAAATAAAAAAAGATGGCCGAGAGAAAAAAAAAATTAGACTTCTATGTTTATTTAAAAGATATGACATCCCTTACGAACTTGAAGGGTTGAAGTTCTAGAAGCATACTATTTTTTTTTCTAAAGCTTGGAAAAATACCTCAAATGACTTCAAAACATAAGAGCACTGCGGACGTACATTTCTGATTTCTTCGTAAAAAAAGGATTGCGCGTTATACTAAAAATTAAAAATTGCAGCTTAGGCCGAATATAGCAGTTATAGCCGGATTTTTTACGGAAAATAATTTTTCTTCTAATAATAAATACTCTTAAAATAATTTTAAACGTTTTTTCTTACTCTAAATATCAAAAAAAAATTATTTATTTATACGGTTTCTCAAAATAACGGTTCTAAACTTATCACCTTGACTGAAGAAAAGGACTCAATTTAAATTTTACTTTTAAAAACTAAAACCAACCCAAAAATAAATATACTCATGGTATGATAATCCATTTTTTCATGCACTACAATTTAATATACTTTTAAACATTTCACAAACTAAAACAAGTAATATATAAAAAAAAATTAAGTCAATAAAGCCTACTTAGGTCAACAAAGAAAAATCTTAGTTACTTTACAATTAATATAAATATATACACAAATGACATAATCACAATATTAGGTGACAAAATAAAAAGCGATTTTCCAAGCAATTTTCCATTTTCCTTTCTATATATGGTGTTGGGAGTTTTTCTTTTGTAACTGTTTATTCATCAATCAAACTTAATTATTCTAATAAAAAGTATCGTTAAAAAGAAATCACATTCTCAGAAATTAGGCCATCCCACGTGGGATTCGAACCCACAACCTTTGGATTAGAAGTCCAACGCGCTATCCATGGCGCTACACAGGGACACAACGGACGACTTTCCTTTCTACATGTGCTGTTGGACTATTATGTGTTTGTTACTATTTATTCATTTTTTAATTTAATAAATGAATTTATATTTGAAAAAACTGTATTAATATCAAGTGTCATCCACTACAAGTTTTAAAAAAAGGTATTTGAACTTGAATGTGGATGAAAAAGTTTTTTTATTAACGATTGAAAATTTGAACAAGACAGACAGACATATATATATAGAGAGAGAGTGAACTAATAGTAGGAATTGAAAAATGATTGTTTAGTTTAAGATACATATTTTAGTAGAATCACACTAAATACTCTTACGCAAACAGCAAACAATCGTCATGCATCTTACGAGTACACACATTAAGGCTTAGAAGATAACTAATCCCACGACAAGTTGAATGGCATTGCACTATTTCCGATTAACCATATTCATTTTTCATCCTTGAATATTTGCTACCTAACATAATTGTAACTATCATTCCGTTCGGTTTTCTCTTATCACCCCCATTGTATGTAAAACACTCATTCAAAGGTCAGATTAACATTCGAAATAAAACATTCACACGCGCGGGTCTCGTTTGCTGAGCGTTCTATTTATTGCGAGCAAAATAAAATGACTGTTGCAGTAGTTCGTTAATATGTTATTTAATTGGATGATACGACCAATTAAGAGTACGGTTTTCAATATTTAATCACGAGTTTTAATTCCTAAATCGGAGGTATTTTCTGGTCAATTTAATGGACTATATGTAAGAAGTAAAAGGGATGGGTGGCGATAATTTCGACATTATATTTTACGGAACAGAGCTTTTTTGAATTTCAGTTTTTAGTTCTGTTTAATTGTTGTCACAAAAAGTTGCGATATGCAGTAGCGTAAGCAGACTTTTTCTGGTGATGGGGAATTATGTGTTTAAATCAGGAGTGGGCAGACTTTTCCAGGGTACGGGCTACTTCTAATTTTTTCAAGGTGTTGCGGTCCACCCAGTGTCGTAGGTGTAGTGAGCTACAGAAAGTATCCAATACAGTAATTTTACGAACCTCTATTTTACGAATTTCTCAATTTAGCGAACTTTTTCCTGGAACCAAGAACATTTTCCGATTTTCTTCGTAAAATTACCTCCAAATAGCGAAGTGCATTTTCTATTCAACGAAATGTTCTCTTATGATTCGCGCCTTTTTTCCTCTTAAAACTATCGTATTTACTCTAATCTAAACCGCACTTCTTTCCTGATGTTAATGTTACTGGAAATCGGGCGTGACTTAGAATCGAAGAGAAAAAAATTGGTTGGATGGGGGTATTTAAAGGCAATTACAGCTTCAAGCATGTATTTAAATGTTGGTAATACTGATAAAATAATTAATTATTTACTTCTTATTAGTTTGCCTTTTAAATTTAATTTAATTTCGTAAAATTGAATATCGATATATAAACCATTTTAGACTATTTTTCAATTTTTACAGAATTGGCTTGGATTTGAATAAATACGATATTTCTGAACTTTCGTATGATGGAATGATTATTAGGTATTAGTAAAGGCGGTCTCCCCCAAATGTCTTGGCGGTCTACCGGTCGGTCGCGATCGACTTAATGCCCACCACGGGTTTAAATAATGACAAACAGACGAGAAAACACAAAGATTGGTCTAGGGGAGGTAATTGTTCCCCCTCAATTGCGTATCCCACTGGTGATTTGTGAAAATTAAAAGCAGTGCGTTTTGAACTGCCACACTTGTTTTAAGATGCTGATTTCACGTATAAGATATAGGTTGGAATAAATTTTTTCTGGAGGGGGGGGGGGAGCGATAGGAATTTTAAACTCACGTGTGTCAAATTTTAAGTTATTTACGTTATCGAAATTTCTGCTGCCCGTGCTCAATAGCTATTGATTTTTCCAATTTACATTTTTTTTTGCATAGTTTTCTTTTTCATTTACCCTAGAATTTATTTCGGTTTGTAAACAAACATCAATCGTATTTTGTTAATAATATTTAAACAAAATATCACAAAATGAAGCAATTCGTATTTTCTCTTATATAAATTGATTGTCTTTTTAATTTTAACACAGCTTTTGTATAAAATTACAGTAGTTATTTAAAAAAATTTGAGCTAATAACTTTAATACACTAAAACTAATGGTTGTATAATGTATGACCTTCAGATTGTGTCATTACATTACCTTAAATACGATACATTTCTTTTTAGAAAAAGGAGTGTTTCTTTTCAGGAACTTTTCAGTAGAGTTGTGCCCAGATTTTTCTCCTTGAAATTGAAGAAATTCCAGCAAATAAACGAGTTTTTCCTAAGTATCCATCATTTGAAAAAATGACTAGCTTTTAATACAAGAACATATTTGTTCTTTCCCCTAATAAACATTGTTACTTAATAAATGTGACAATCTTTCGAATAGTACAAACATCCTGACATGGTTATTAAAAACTATTTCTAACTAAATTCATTGGTGTAACGTACACTCCCGTATCGCGCGGGGGGGGGGATTCTAGGGGACCCAAAGCCTGATTGACGCCAAGTGCGACTTGGGCTCAAAACGTGACCTTTGCAGGGGGACCCTACTATTCTTCGTCATGCCACTAACTAAATTACATTTGTTTGTTGAAAAATGGCACTAACACTAGCCAGTCTTGGAACAACCACTAGAATCCGAAACTATAATATGAAATGGGGGGGGGGAGTTCAGAAATTTGTTACATCAGTATGCTTTGTGGATAATTTAATCACGATGAAGTGTGCGTTTTTATACCAAATTCAGAAATCAACATCTGGCTGAAAGAGATCTCAATCCAACATTGTTTTCCATATTGACAAACAACTTAAAAGGGTAGGGTCTTTTAAAGAAATATTGGCCTGTTAAAAGAATTAGGCCATACCTCACTTTTTTATTTTATTTATTGGCTTTAGAAACAACAACGGTGTGGTCACATTTCACTGCAATATTACATTACTTCTCAGTTTATAAGGAATGGCTGGTCCGTAGATGTAATAAACAGTGACCTACACGCTGAGGAGGGATGTAGAAGTCTGACCCTAACTGGTGACCCTTGGGTGCGCCATTGAAAAACATTAAGGAATGAGAAGTTTTGAACCTGGGCCGTAGGTCAAGGGTTTACGGCGACGAACATTAACATACTTTTACGAGCTTTTTGCGGAACAAGAGATTTACGGCGTAGTTAGTCGGTTCTGACGCCGATTACATCCATTTGAAGCTTAGGCTTTCCTTAATAAAACGCACAATAAAGAATTTTTTTTTTTAAAAAAGTTAATCGGATTTCTATAAATAACTTCTGAAATAAAATATTCCGGACACGTCAGTCTGATTTTTTACTAAATTTGGTTAATTCTAGATGGATAAAGGGGTTTTTACAATTTTATGGAAATTTAACAATTTTTTTTGGTTATTTATATACTGCGCTTTTTAAATAGTAAAACATTCTATAAATACACTATTTATTATTTTTCCTTTAAAGTGTGACGTGTACAACCGATTTAGTACGCTGTAAAAAAAAGAATACATTTTAAACCGAATAAAATCCATTAAATCAGAGAATACGAGTGAATGCATTTGTTAAAGTCTCACTCTTACGCAACACGTTATTCACGAAACGTCGTTATTCTGAATCATGGTCAAGTGACATCTGGGTTGGGGGACCTATTCTTCGAACTTCCACACCCCGCGAACGGGAGGACATTGAGACTCGATAGATTTCACGTGGATCGAATTCATGACACGCCACCCCAGAGACGTCTTACGACTTCTCTAGGCCCTGGGCCCCTCCTCAAAAGCAGGCCCCTACACAAATGTAGGCCCCACCTATGATCCTTAAAAGTAGACAGTACATAGCATACGTTGTCAAATACTCGTACAAACAATAACCCAAAACAAATAAATGCGCAATCGTCCAAACCGGCTCAACCGACCGCAGCCTTCTGACTGCATGAGTTATGATGGTGTATGGCGGTAGGCCTAGGTCTGTACGTGGACGACGGTCATCACATGTAGCCAGTTGACATATCGTCTGAAATTCCCAGCTTTTTGGAGAATACAACAGGAACTAACATTTGACCGTTGAAATTATTCGAATAATGATTTTATTCAGGCTGAGTGGAGAACTAGACGAGGCCCATATTGCGATCGAGGCCCTGGGCCCGGGCCTAGTTGGCCCATGCCTTAAAACATCCCTGCGCCGACCACGAATCCGTAACTATGTCCACTACGCCACCACTGCCATATGAATTAACTGAGACAGAAATTCGGAGGAGGTATAGGAATACATGCGGCTCTCTGCAAGATAGCGAAGTCAAAACATAATATTACTGTTAAGAAAATTTACATCTATCGAAGTGTTCTAATTTAGGAGTCCTGTTCTTTTACATCCATGCCTTAAAAATGTCAGAAAGATGTGATAAAAAAATTAATCCAACTACTTTTGCAAAACGAAAAGCAATATATAAATAAAATTCAGACGTGTGAAATTTTGATTAATTTCAGAAAGCAGTGTCGAACAGTTCAAAAATACAGGTTATCACGTAAAAGCACATTCTTCTTTCTGTACACACAAAAATGTGATCCCTAAACCAGAAAATTAACCAAACACAATATCATTCAATGATGTTTCGAACAGAAAATGCAAGGGAAATTTTCATATAATACATACTGCAATACAACAATACATAAAATACTCTTATAATACGCATTCACACATACAAAAAAAAAAGCACAAAAGGCCTTAAATCGAGATCAAAACGACATGTAAGGTGTGCCGAACCTCTTGCAATTCGTAGATAGAACAAAGTTCATTGAAACACTTGATGTTCGATTTTAAAAACACTTGGAAATTTAAAACATCATTCTTCTTAAAACAATGGCGTTATCTTCTTTGAAATAGAATGATTTTCACAATAATCTCATTTATTTATATCCACTGATGAAACAATACGCAATCGAGTTCCCAACAAAACTGAAAAATTCTGAAATATTTAAATTTAA